TGTAAAATAATCAATCACACTAAATACAATTTCTTTTTTTTTTCTCCCAATATTTGAAGACCAAACCACACTGTATATATTATGGCACCGCTTATTTCCACCTAGCACTTCAACTATATGTATTTTTTTTTTAGTAAACATTTTAATGATTGCCAGGTTTTCCTCTTACAAGATTAATCACAGATAGTTCATTAAGGATAATATGGATGAAATTAAGATCAAGTATCACTCAAAACATTCATAGGTCATATTTTGTCAAGATGAAATTAAATCAGTTGTGGACAGGAATAAGCTATATTAAGATCACAAACAGAATGAAAATTTAAACAGAAAAGAGGAACAGGAACAGGAAAAAAAATACAATCATAAAGGTACTAGTTCTGAAATGTTCTATTATTATTATATGAGCTAATCAGTCACCAAGCTGAGGATATTTTCTTATATGTGTACATCAGCTATTTCCTCTGTGAAATTCTGCATACTCAATGGGTAGTCATTTAATACACAGGGACATTAAAATACTCATGACATGGCTTCTGCAGTAGATCATCCTATTCAATTGCTTTAAAGACATTTTTCTTGGATGTTTCCTTAACGTCCCCTCCCAGAAGAAACTCATCCAAAGTAAAATACGCCTTCTTAAAATTAAAGATGATCTCAAGTTCACACACACTGCCAAAATACTTGTCAAGTAACTCCACATAATGAAGAATTATTTCTGGGATAATTAGCTCATTGTCCTGATCTTCACAGCAAAAATACAGACTAGCATATCTTTCGTAAACATTCTTCAGGATCTCGCCACTCAAGGAAGCTGCACGTTTAGGTTTCTGTGCTAAAATGGTTTGAACAAGTTCTCTTGTGATCTTTTTCTTCTCTTTGATAGTGGGACATACTATTCCTGCAGTCGAAGCTTTCCCCGATGACTAAAAAGCAATATAAACTGCAGCGAAGCCAAGGCCCGTGAGCTTGGCAGGGCCCGGCCAGCTGCAGCAGCAGCAGTGGCTGAGGGGAAGCCCCCAATGCCCCACAATTTCAGTTATGACATGTCTAGGTGTGAATTTCCTTTCATTGTTGCTGTTTGGTAATTGTTTTATTTCCAAGATAGGACGAGCCATGGCTTTCAATAATTATAAAAAATTCAGCTGTAACTGCTTTGAATATTGTTTTCCCCTATTCTCTTCTGGAACTAGGGTACTTCAAAAAATTTGTGGAAAAATAGAATTCAAAGATAATACAATTATTTCCACAAACTTTTGAAGTACCCTCGTATATTGGAACTTCGGGCCTTAACTCCTCTTTCACAGTTTCCATCATTTTTTTCTCAGACCTATCTTCTAGTTAATTCCTTAATTAACTGTACATATTGTTTTTTAAACCATTTGCTGAATTTTAATTTCCACTAGTAGATCTTTAAAACTTCCAGAAGTTCTAGTTAATTATCAAAATCTTTGCAATGATCTAAATGTTTATGTCTCTCCCCCCAACCAAAATTTATATATTGAAACCTAATCCCCAATGTGATAGTATTAAGAGATGGGGGTCCTTTAGGAGGTGATTAGGTCATGAGGACTGAGCCCTTATTAATGGGATTAGTGCCTTTATAAAAGAGGCCTGAGGGATCTTGTTTGCCCTTCCGCCACATTAGGACACAGCTAGAAGGGGCTGTCTATGAAGCCAAGAGCTAGCCCTCACCAGATACCGAATGTGCTGGCACCTTGATCTTGGACTTCCCAGAATCTAGAACTGTAAGAAGTAAATTTCTGTTACTTATGAGAGTTACGTACTCTAAGGTATTTTGTTAAAGCAGCCTGAGGTTGATTGAATTATGTCCCCCCAAAACTCACTGAAGCTTGAATTGTGTCCTCCAAGTTTTTTTTTTTTGTTTTTTTTTTAAAAGATGACCGGTAAGAGGATCTCAACCCTTGGCTTGGTGTTGTCAGCACCACGCTCAGCCAGTGAGCAAACTGGCCATCCCTATATAGGATTCGAACCCGTGGCCTTGGTGTTATCAGCACCGCAGTCTACCGAGTGAGCCACGGGCCAGCCCCCTCCAAGTTTTATGTATTAGAAACGTGGCCTTAGGGCCGGCCTGTGGCTCACTTGGTAGAGTGTGATGCTGATAATACCAAGGCCGTGAGTTCAGATCGCTATATAAGGATGGCCAGTTAGCTCACTTGGGAGAGCGTAGTGCTG